GGGTCTTAATGGGGCTTGAAAGGGGTTGAAACGCCTTTAAAGGGGGTGAGATGATTTTCCTTACATTATTTTATTTTTATTTTTATTTCTGTGAAGACTTTGGGAGTGACCCTTTGCCAAAAGTTGTTTGGTTTGCTATTCTGCACAACATACTTTTTTTCTAGGCTACCAGCCGGGCCACCCGGGTCCCGGGTGTCCAGCCCCTGCAAGGACCAAGGAAAGTCCCAGCAAAAAAAAAAAAAAAAAATCCAAAAAAAAAACTATGTTATGCAGAAAAATAAACTGAACAACTTTTGCCTYAGGGTTTTATCGAAATTCTTCACCAAATTAAAAGTAATAATAATAATAATAATTTTTTATTTTTTTATTTTTAGTTTTTTTGGCCCGGCCGGGCAAGTGACCCTGGGCCACTCTGGTAGCCTAGCTTTTTTTACTTCTTCTTCTTTTTTTTTTTTTTTTTTTGGTGGAATATGGGCTGGGACCCCGCCCGGCCCAGTTGCCCGGCCTGGCGTCCCGGGCACATCCCGTGCCAGCTTTGGGGACCCGGGCGGGACTGCTGGTAGCCCAGCTTTGAAGTTCTGAACTGGAAAGTGTGAAAAAAAGGGAAGATAAAGAAGCCCAGCCTGGAGAATGAGTGGAAAACGTAGAAAAAGAAGTGTAAATGCGGGCGTAAAGTTAAAAAAAGGAAAATCAACAAGTTTGTCTTCAGCATCGTGTGAATGCCTTGCCGCCACTTGTGCATTTCATCAGGAGCACAAAACTTGTTGCGTAGCATGCAAGTAAGTACTATTGCCTTGTTGTTGCTTCCACAGGCAACAAGGGCAGCAACACAGGGGGGCGCGCCCCCAGCCAAGGCAAATGGCGATGTGGTTAGGTCTAACGAAGAACCGGTGGACGGCCAACATCCAGCGGCATTGGGGAGCTCATTAGGAACGATGGATGTTGCTTCAGGAAGTCAGAGGCTGGGAAGCGGAGGCACGCAAACAGAACAAAGGAATGGGAGGGAGGGACATGGAGGTGGTGGATCCTCCACCAGATTGGCAGAGAGGGAGGTGGGTAGAAGTGGCTGAGCAGAGGTGAGGATTACAGGTATCGTGTCTCGCTTACTTATCTGTTTCTCCCGTTTCTCCTTCATTGATGGATGCACCACAGTGGCTAGCTGGGGGGTACTCACGTGCTCAACTCCTGTGTCTGTGAATATTGCTGATGAACCTCTGTCTGTAAATATCAGTCACTCAGGAATGCCGCAAAATCTTTGTCCATCTGCTGGTCCTTGAGTGTCCCCTCTAGTCCCCCCACGACCTTCAACAGGCGTCATTACCTCCTCCTCTGGTCCTTCAGGCCTTGTGAAAGGGGACGGCATGAAAGAGGTCCTTATGGGCCCCTCAGCTCAAAATCAATGGTTCTGGTGTAAGTTCGTAGACGGTTAGCGACAGACTAAGTACTACTGAAGAGTATCAATGGAATGATGGGAATTATGGGAGTGCGTGTTTCGGCTGTCGGAGCTAAGAAATGCTGCGAGCGACGAGCGTGTATGTAAAGGTGAGGGTCATGCTATATTCGTGTTATACAGGGAAGCTGTCTCCAGGGGAGCAGTGGCTGAGGCTCTTCCAGCCATAATGGGAAGAGGTGTGCGTACAAGTATTGTAATCAATTTCATAATTGGAGCCTTGGGCACTGGGCCCTTAAAAAAAAAAAAAAAAAAAGGTGAGGGTCATCCTAACGGGGAACCCCACGAGAAGTTGATGGCGGTGTCACAAAGTGATCACTCGAAACTTTTGCGGATTCCATTCCAGCCATCTTTGCAGACAAAGTGCTCCGCTTCCCTCGCACAGGAGGTTGCCGTGTGTCGTCAGGTTAAAGCTTCGGATGGTTGATGAATCATCAACCGTTGATGGATCATCAGCCATCTCAAGATGACGTGATCGGACCGAAGGAGTGCATGCAATGGCCCTAGTAATGGGTGGTTGGGAGAGGGTGTGGTGACCTGACCAACAGTGCGGAGGGGTTTGCGCAACTTGGCGGACTAAGTCGTCCGCGACTTGCAATTTTCGATTTGCCGTTCACCGGTCTCGTTCTTGTTCTCCTTTGTGCAAGTTCTTCGCAACTGGTCACTTTGCAGATGTCGGAGGCAGTTGGTGGAACAAATACCGCGCTGTCAGTGGTGTGGGAAATCGGCCAATCTCAATCGGTCACTCTGCAGATGCTGGAGGTGGTTGGTGGAAGAAACATTGCCTAGTCTCACCAGCGAAACATTTTCTCTCATAATCTCGTTCATCTGGAGCCTGGGCGCAAGAGAAGAGGATCTTTTTTTTTTTTCTCCTTCTTTTTTCTTCTTCTTTTTTTTTCTTCTTTTTTTTGTTTCAGCCCACGGTATTCGTTGGTAAAAGGCGTAAGAAATTACTAAGAATAGTAATTACGCCTCTTGAGCATTCGTTGGTAAAAGGCGTAAGAAATTACTAAGAATAGTNGTAAGAAATTACTAAGAATAGTAATTACGCCTCTTGAGCATTCGTTGGTAAAAGGCGTAAGAAATTACTAAGAATAGTAATTACGCCTCTTGAGCCTGGGCGCAAGAGCAAGAGGATCTTCTTGTCTTTCTGTTATGGTTTGTGTGCCTTTTGAATGCCAGGTATGGATTTATAAATTGATATGCTTCGCTTGCAGATGATCTCAGTCGTGCACTGGTCCACGCCAGGCAGACAGACTATTATGGGCATCACCACACCAATGTCGAAAAAATGTGCAAAATGAGAATGAACTTCCTGCTAGAACATGGCCAGATGCACCCGCCACATTTTTGTCTTTTAAACTCTTTTTCACATTTGGAGAGTGGTGTGGCGAGGCCCTATGCGAGTTTGAAGCAAATGGCCACCCCAGTCAGAGGCATTGGTGTGCAGATACAGACGACCCTGGAACACAGTTCTAGAGAGGCTGACTAACGTATCCGGATCCGGTCAGCTGTGTGCTGGGTCTGTCGTTTCTGCAGTGATGGACCAGAGTCACCAGACGCTGACCGGCCTCCTTGAGTCCGGGAATGGATGATCTTCTGTGTCAATTTTAAATTGAAAAGGTGGATGGCAGAAGCTCCTGATTTCTGCAATGTCCTCTGCATCCCTCGAAGCCTGTTGGCCGTGGGAGCTGTTTTTTTTTTTCTTCGAACGCTGCGGGCCGACGGGACGGGCTCGTTTTGTCCGTCGTTCTGGCGCATCTGATGATTCTGATCAGATCAGTCTAAAGTGTGGATTTGATTTTAGGGTTCGAACTTCAAAGTGAAACGTGCCCTCTGCCATCTTTCTGCACCTTTCTCTCTCCCCTGTCATTGATCCCATGGGCGGGGCTTCCTGTGAGCCTTTGCACAGCGGGTGCGAAACGCCAATCGCGAACCAATAAATTGCTTTCGGCCTTCCGTTGAATACGCGTGGCCGCACCGCTCTCTGAACGCGAGGTAAGGCATGCGTATCTGTCCAAGTTCTGGCCGAAGATACATTCTCAGTTTGCACGTTTGGTAGTAGTGCGGCAGAGCCGTATTTCGCCTTTGCTTTTCCCGTAGGCGTTGGCATTTTCCAAAACCGCTGCTACACCAAAGGGCCTAGCTCAGTTGGTACACCCATGCACTGTTGAAAAATACAGATCCGACCTCGAATCCAGAACAATCAAATCAAATAGTTCTGATTCTTCTGACTTACAGGGTATCAGTTTGATGATGATGATATCTGAAGGCGATCGCCCTTTCGTTTCGTGCAACAGCGTGCGGACCGCGACGTGGGTAGGAACGGCAGGAGAGGAAGAATAGGAGGCATAGCTACTCCCTGACCATTGGCGTTAGGGCGGGGGCAACATACACCCCCCTCATTGTGAAAGGTAGCTACACTTGCAGGGGATCCCGGTATAGTCGTAGAAGTAGTGGGTAGGTAGTGAAAGGTGAGTTTTAGAGAAGAATATATCTTCGTTTTAAGAAAAAAGAAGAAAATGAAACAGTGCACAACCCGGTAATGGGCAGGAAATGGGAAATGCATGTGCACCTTCTACTTTGGGCTATCAATGGAGATGGAAAATGGAGAAGAAGACAACCTTGGACTTGGTGGCTCGAGCGTGCACGTTAGAGAGAGAGAGAGAGAGAGAGAGAGAGAGAGAGAGAGAGAGAGAGAGAGAGAGAGAGAGACAGACAGACAGAGGAAGGCAGGGAACCGAAGGAGGAGGGAGGAGGTAAGGGGGGGAGAGAGAGAGAGAGAGAGAGAGAGAGAGAGAGAGAGAGAGAGAGAGAGAGA